GCCTTTTGTTTGGTGTGATTTTGGGAGGGAAAGGTGGAGAGAAAGGGGGTGGACAAAGTGTCACCGCCTCACTGTTAACTCAAGCCGCAGAAGTGTTCTTGGGCCATGCAAAGACGGGGTGTGAATAATCCACATATGGCCAGTCAATTCCCCCAAGTGCTAAAATTCAAGCTGGACATGGCCCTTTTGCTCATTTTCTCTCTCTTTGCTTCTCACGCACGCGTGTATGTATGTTCAACCAGAACTGTCTCATGTCTCAGTGGACACATTTAAGCCTTTGTGTGCCCCCCCCACCCCCCACCCAGTCTCAACCCCTCCAAACAACCAACGATACTAAAGTCTTCCCAACAGTCTGTTCCAACTAAATCCTCTTTGTTCCTTCTGGTTTTCCCTGGCGTGACGTGGCAGAAGACACTTTGGGTTCTCTTGGCTCCAGAACGGTTGTTTTGCTTGGGGTCCCACGCGCTGTGCCTCTCGGGGCTTCAGTTTGGTTAAATTAAACAGTTTTCTTTTCTCCTCTAACTCGATCGACACACCCCCTCCAACTGCTTCTACTATTCTGAGGAAACGCTCCTCAGCTCCTTGGGTCGTCTCCACTAAGATGGTGATACCCTTTTAAGCATCATATTTTCTTCAGATTTTGGAAAAATAAAACAAAGCCAGACCCCCCTTCCCCTTTGGTATAAAAAGGTTTAAACGTACACATAGAGAAGTCAAGGGTTAACTGGGGCTGAGAGTGCAGCATTTTCAAGAGGCAGACAGTGATATGCTGGTTTGAGCGGATACATTGATTGGGCAATACTGTTTGACTGCGTGATCAGATCTGGGGTTTGCGTTTGTGCTTGACCACTCTACAAGTGAGTAAGGAGGCTGTCGTAAACAGCAGCCAAAGAACGGACATCTTGAGATTGACTGGCACAATTAAATGGAAACACAATTGGGAGAAGGCTGTGCAAATGTTGAAAGGTGGTCATGTGCTTGCACTATTGCAGGGTGTGTATGTGTATGTTTGTTGAGCTCCTGTGCCAAGCTTTACTTATGGCAACAAGTATGGACCAGGACTGGGAGGATATACCATCTCTTGACATGATTTACCGTATTTTTCGGATTATACGTCGCTCCGGATTATAAATCGCACCAGCCAAAAAATGCATAATTAAAAAGGAAAAAACATATATAAGTCGCACTGGAGTATAAATCGCATTTTTGGGGGACATTTATTTGATAAAATCCAACACCAAAAACATATGTCATCTTGAAAGGCAAATTTAAAATAAAACTAAAACTAGAGAACAACAGGCTGAATAAGTGTACGATATGCTAACGTTACATGGAGCTTTAACAACGAACTGTGAATGCGCCTGGTATGTTAACGTAACATATTAAGAGTTATTTAGACAACTATAGCACAAAGAACATGCTAACAAATTTACCAAACCATCAGCGTCACTCCAAATCACGAAATCCAATGAAATCTTCATGCTCGGTGTCACTTTTAAACAACTCCGCCAACTCCGGAGGTAGAAGATGCCTCTTCTACATTGCTTATGTCAGAGTCATCGTCAGTTGTTTTTCTCAGTTACCGCCAATGTGGAAAGTATCAACACAGGCCGAGAGCACCCTCTTGCGGTTTAATGTGAAAATAACGTGATGTGTACAATGTGTTAACCATTTCACACATAAATCGCTCCAGAGTATAAGTCACACCCCCGGCCAAACTATGAACAAAACTGCGACTTATACTCCAGAAAATACGGTAATCCAAAAAGTAATTTCACGATGTAACCACATCAGCTGTTGCTTTTATTTACCTTACCTCAGACCTTTAGCAGATAGTTTAGCACACACGTTTGTGAACAGAAACGTTTAACGTATCGTCTTTGAATCTTTGTGACATTCTGAGTGCCATTCTTTTGAGCCGTACATGTGTGTTTTATGACGGACAACCAATCGCTAATTATATTATGCCCTCTGGAATGTCATTCTTTAACGTATTTTCATATTTGTAGAAGTACATTGCCATGCTTTTGTTGACTCGATGCGCTTATTTCATGGTGCACGATGTTTTGGGAAGCCCATTAACTTTCCCACTCAAAGGCGAGCGATAGAAGAAACCCATTCATCGGATATGCTACATTTTCCAACAACGCCTTCCAAAAACCAACGCAAATGCTCAGACACACTAACCCCGTACATCAGCAACAACAGACCCCACAATGCAACCCCAAAGGTGCTCGTACAGTTTCCTCTGGAGGAAAGAGTTTTCTATGAGGGGGAGGGCTAAAATGCCCCTGGCTGCGCCCCCATCTACCCCCATTCCTCTTTATGCACCCCCTTCCCTACCCCACTCCCCCATGGGGCAGGTGACAACCCTCTACTGTGAAGGGCTGAGGGAGCCATGACGGATTCCACAGATGGAGCGTGGAAATCGCCGGCAAAGAGCTCAGCTTTTTGCAGCAACAAAGGGCCAGAGAGCCCGAGAGAGAAATATGGGTGGAACAGAACGATTGGGGTAGACAAAGCAAGACAGTTAAGAGAAAGAGGACAGGGTGGAGTAGGTATTGCTTGTTTAAAGAGGGTGAACATTGTGTTGGCAAAGTTGTATTTTCCCTGAACTTTTAAGATGGGACTTACCATTTATGCCACAAATAATTAAGATGTTCATTTTATTAACATCACAACGTGACTGTGACTTTCTGCGCACAGGGATTTCACAACCAAAGCTACATTATTAAATCAATCGAAAGCGTCCTTTTCTCACTTTGTCCGGATTTTCTTAAGTTAACATGCTCAAACTATTTCATTGGAAACCAAATTCCTTTTGCACAATAAATTGAACATTGGAACCGTCCTTCTGAGACTGCCGTCGATAACTGATTGAAACAAGAAGACAGTTGGGGGCCCCGCGTGGGTCAGCAAAGGAAGAAGATGATGCTACATCTGTTTCAAGAAGTCAATATTTGAAAGCACATGACAGGAAGAAATGTCAAAACAGCCATGACGTTTTTATGTTATGTCTGTCATATGATGACTAAGTAAATCCATGTGGAGATATATTTTGACGTCAAAACTGCTTTCTTTCTCTTCCTGTTTGAAAAGAATGAAATACAGTATGCCCGCAGAGGCAGACAAAATTTGGAAAAAGATTGAATTCAACTCCATGCGTGTACCTGAGATTGCAACGTAAAGTGTGAAAAAGTGTAGAGCCCATGTAACGATTCACCACATCGGAGCTAAACAAACTTGAGCCATCCACGGAAGATCAAATTGTAAATTGCTGCAAATTGTGAGATTTGTTGCCACTCTGTCGGTTCTTTTGAAATGTTCTTGAAACTATTGTAGCAGTTATAATTGATAGGTAATTCCAAAATGATGAAGGATTTTCCCAGCTACCTCCATTTTAGCAGGGCCCAAATCCCTGTGAAATGCTGAGGAACGTGCATGCTGCTAAAGTCGGGGGGAGCCCAAAAGAATTCCATGCGGCCCTGCTGTAGGAACCAAGAATGTGTGTGCGTGCTTGTGCGTGCTTGTGCGTGCGTGCGTGCGTGTGCGTGTGCGTGTGTGTGTGCGTGTGTGTGTGTGGTGGGGCTGGCTTGGAGTGTGCAGGGGGCAACAAAGGATTCTATCTCTTGTTTTTGCCAACCTGTCGAAAACTTCAGAATTCTGTTAACCACACCCCAAATTCCAACAGGCTGTTTCTATGTTTTATGTTTAGTCATGTTTTTTTTGGGTGACCCAGTTAGGTGAACAGACTTTAGGTGCTTAGTTATTGTTTTAGATTAGACACCATTAAAAAGTTAGCGTGGATGGGGTGCACAATGATGGTTCTGCAAATTTGCAAGATATTCTGACAATGGCATTATTTATCTTTCTCTGCCTTTTGAAAATATATTGCTTATTGTCTCTTAAATACATGTCTTGCCGGTGGGGGTGCAAGGATCATTTTCAGGCAGGGGGCCCTCATCTGGTTGGATTCCCTTGTTTATTGTTGTTTCTGAGGGGGAACTAATACAGTGTTGCACACAAATCATTGCCTGTGCTGAGGGGGAATTAATTAGATCTAACACAAAAGGCCTTGGTGAATTTAAAAGGGATCCAATAGCGTGTTGGAAGTTCAAAACGAAAACACATTGCTGGATTGTAGCAGACAAATCAGAACTGAATTAACTTAGATCTGAAGTAAATGGAACAAGGAGAATTTTTAGGGCTATCGGGATCAACAATCTAACAGCTGCTCAGTCAGGCTGAGCATCACATCTTGCTGAAAAAAATAGTCACATTTTATTATTTTGTGTGTGTGTGTGTGTGTGTGTGTGTGTGTGTGTGTGTGTGTGTGTGTGTGTGTGTGTGTGTGTGTGTTTACGCTAAACAAAGTAGCATTGTGCATTAAAATGAGAAAATGTGCAGTTTTGATAACTATACTCCTCTTTGGTGGGTCATACTCTCTCTCCTCTCTTCTCTTTCTCTCTCTCTCTTTCTGTCACTCACTCACACACACACACACACACACACACACACACACACACACACACACACACACACACACCACAGAAGAATGGCCCCAAGATCCAAATTAGCCTTTTGTGTGGCTTTTAGTCCACCAGTACCCCTGTGGAGCCGTGGGATTTTCTTCCATAGGGATTATTCACTCACAATAATTCTCCTCAATGGAAGTCTGTTTGGCCACAAGACCACAAGAAAAACTATCACTTGACAGCGCATGCGTGTGTGTGGGGTGTGGATTGTAATGTAATCAAATTGCAAAATGCGAGTACATCACTCTGTTTTATTTTGTTCGGTGAGTCTTTTTTCAAGGGCAGTTGGCCATTGTGACTCCTTAATGACTGATGCTGATACTGTAAACCGCTTCACGGAATACATTTTGATAGTTGGTTAGAAAGACGCTTCAATATTTTTTTACTTATTTGCCTGTTTAAATATTTGATGTTGGGGGGAAAATATTGAGTGGGATTTTTTTTTCTCTCCCTCCTGTTGATTAGCGAGTCACTCAGATGAGGCTTCAGACGTGGAGTCAGAACCTGATCTGCCTTTGAAAAGGAAACAGCGGCGCAGTAGGACCACCTTTACGGCAGAGCAGCTGGAGGAGCTGGAGAGAGCCTTTGAGAGGACCCACTACCCCGACATCTACACCAGGGAGGAGCTTGCCCAAAGGGCTAAACTGACTGAGGCCAGGGTGCAAGTAGGAGATGACACATTCACACATTGCCCACCACATTAGTTATACATGTATAATCTAATGAGAGCCAGTGTTTTGATTGATTTATTGAACATATAAACACAACATGAAAGAAATAACAAAATAAAATCAAAGAAAAAATATCAATACATATCTTGGTTCAGTGCAGTTTATATGTTCAAAGGGAGGGGGAAGTAGTAGAAAAACGTATCTAGTCCTACCCCTTGTTCTCTATAAATTATTATTATTATTATTATTTTTTTCCCCAAAAAAATACACTGGTCAAAAATGGGTTATTTATTTGTTTGTTTGTTTGTTTTCTTACTTTGATCAGAGATACAAGTCAAAATTTCCAGATGAACTTTTGCACTGATTTTGAATTTTTTTTCTCTAGCAGTTTTTCACAACAACAATAATAATTCTTTATATTTACATTTTTAATAAAAATAGTTGGAACCATTTTTTTTCCTTGGAATAAACACAATTATCCTGCCTATGCTCCATAAAGAAAGTTACATTGCTTCATTGTATTCATATGGATGCAGCGCATTGTATTTCACACACTCACATACACCAACAATGTCTCAACACTAAAAGGTATGGTTCAGCAACCGAAGGGCCAGGTGGCGGAAACAAGCAGGGGCCAATCAGCTGTTGTCCTTTAATCACCTGATCCCAGGGGGTTTCCCACCTTCAGCCATGTCCAGCCTTACTCCTTACCAGCTCTCTGACAGCACCTACGCCTCTGCCTCCGTAGCGCAAGGTACGTACACGAGGTCTCACCACACAGATTGATATTTGTATCTGTCAAATAATTATTGATAGACCATAACGTGTGAATCTTCTTCACCTTAGAGCCGCCCAGCACTCTACATCGACCACAGCCTCTGCCGCCGTCGTCGGGCCACCAAGTGCCCAGTGCTGGAGGGCAAGGTGAAGGAAACTCTGCCTACTGCCTTGCCTCCGGACGCCACTCCTTCTCAGGATACTCGGAAAGCTTTGTGAGCCCCGGGGGCCCGGCCAGTACCATGAACCCCGGCATTGGAAATGGGCTCTCCCCGCAGGTGAGGAAACATCTGTCATGTCTGACTTTGACACTCCTATAATGATTGTGTTCCTGACGGCGTTGCCCTTTCACCACTGTGTGAGGCAGCGGTGCCCTGTGCCTCAGGCTGTCAAGGAAACAGATTGGCATGAAATGAGTGAACCAAAATGTTACTGCTTTGTCAGTGGCTTCCTTATGCATCATTCCTTTAAGGGAAAATCACCATGAACAGTGGATGTCGCACATTAATATGTACTTATCTGCATACACATAACATCCAATCCAAAACATACAGTATAACAATATTGTGCATAAAACGATAGCCCCAGATGTGTGCAAACACAACATAGCAAACACTGGACCCTGTGCCTCGAGGGAAGTCCTGTGATTGCATTCTTAAAATGCCTCTTTTGATTTTTCCTCTAGTGATAGCAGAGTTTTTTATTTATTTATATGTTTCATCTGCCGAGGATGTAATATTTGATCTCAGATGTTTTTCCCCCTTGTCCCGACATTTTTCTCTGTGGACTCGCAGTTACGCTGATTCAGGCCTCTGGCAATGGCAGTGTTCCTATATGACACACCCAAGAATGGCAAGTCAGCAGCCCTCTCATGAGGCAGGGAGAGGCTTTGGGAAAGAACGATGCCTGATGGGTCAAGCAGGGATATAACAAAAGCATTAACGTCATTAGAGTACAACTTTGTAGCGAGAGCAGCGGTGGGTTACTGGATCCTACAACATATTTTTGGCACCGGTTCCTGCTCTTTTTCTATTCTTCTCCACCAAACCTTCCAAATACAATTTCATTTTGTTCTGAGGAAAATGTTACAGGGCATGAGAGGAAACACCGCTCCTCTCTCCAAGTCAACATGGACTCGTCCCTCCTCTCCTACTTGGAAATGATTTAAGCAGTACCATGTGTGTGAGTGGATGTAGAAAAATATGTCACTTATAGGGCCAGGAGGACACATAGTGCTGCATACCTGCTTCTTATTAGGATGACTCTAGGAGCCTCCAGCCTTTGCTCTGATCAGATGTAGGGTGGATATGATAAATTTAGAGATTGCAGCTTTAGTTACCCTGTCATTAAAAAGTGAGGAGCACAGCCTCAATTTCTCATTAAGAGGTTACCGATTTTTACTGCAATATTAAGCACGCTTCCGAAGGGGTCGGTGCTATCATTCCCACTTGGACACCAGTTGAACTTTTTTGCCCTGCAGCTCTTTTCCGTGCTTTGCTGGCCAAAGAATAGTCTTCCAAATTCGATTATTGTGTCGCTAATAAAGACCAGGTCAAGAGCTAATGCTTTTCTCAAGCTGCGAATGTATTCTGAGGTTTTAGTAAAGTGAAGCTTGCAGATGTTTTTCTTTTGAGATCAGAATATATCAGAGATAAGTTATCTTTTACTGTGATATTTTTGGAGCAGTGGATTTATAGAATACTTGGGGCTGTCAAACAAATTAGTTAATTCTCAGTCTCTGGAGCTGAGTTACTATGCTTTCTGAGAGTCGATTGGACCCCTGACTGATATCCTGGACCAGGTCAGGGAAGGCACTCCCCAACAGACTGCTTGTCAACTCCACAGGAGCAAAGATAAGATAAGACAACCTTTATTCGTCTCGCAATGGAGAAATTCCCAATTCACAGCAGCAAAGTTATGAAAGGAAGAAGTAGAAGAACAAAATATAGGAGCTGCTGGAAAGGCAGCCACTCTCGCGGCGCCATCTTGAAGTCAAAATAACAAAATAACGGAACACAACACATAAGACACAGACAGTCGTGCAATCTTAATCACTTTTCCTGCAAATTATTTTTGTTGTTTGAAGCAGTTATAGATGAAAGAGGAGAGGATCAAAGTGTCCTTTCACCAGTGGATCACAGACGTCATTCTGAAAATGTGCACACGTCTGCTACAAGCTAAGTTTTGAAAGCAAACATGAATCTGTAGCGTCCGAAAGAGATTGGCTCACACCTCCTTGTCCCACGTAATCCGCTTCAACTCCAAGCCGTGACTCCCAGTTCCACATACGCATCGGCGCTCTGCGCTGATGCTCCTTTCTTCTCATCGTCGGTTCCTCAAGCATTGCATCCATCCAGCTGCGGACCGTCCAACAGCACCGATCTCTCCGCTGAACAAAGCAGGGCTGTGTAAAATGCTGTCCATGACAGGCGCAAAAAAAAACACAAGCGGCCCAGAGCTGTCCAGCAATGACAACAGTCAAATGGCATCGACATTCCTCCCAATCAAAAACAGTGCTGGTATACCCTTGCTGCCGAGAAGGCACAACCACCACGCACCGAGTCTCCTCCTTGATGAATGTTGTGGCCAAAAAATGCTGAAAAACAATCCACATCCGGTCCACACGACGCAACAACAAAAACAAAGTGACAAAACAAAACACAAAAACAACAAAAAAAAGCAAAGCTCATGAGAGCACTTGCCGACGGCTGCCTACTCAGGCGCCATCTTGGACTTGTTTTTGCACGCATATTATAGGGAGTGCACACAGGCAATTGAAGACACACAATCGAGCTCTTATAAAGTGTCTTAACACAAGTTCGAGGGCCCAGAAATCTCATTTGTCCACTTTGAGTATGATCCAGCTCTCAGTAAGATAATGATTTGGGTCTCCTTTGATGATTCTTACATTATTGTTGTTTTTTGTTCTCAATGAATTTCACGACATAATCAATTGAGGATTTCACCTGGAATTATTTTTCTTTAATTGATTTCAAAACAATACACGTACGCAATCGTGTGACAAGATATTTGATCACACTGTGTTTTGAATGTATCTGAACTTGGCAACTTTGGCAAAACGAAAAACATGAAACCACGCATGATAAACACAATATTCACCTATTAGACTGGTGTTATTCTCAAAACCGTGTCCTTTCATCTGTCTTTCCAACAGGTAATGGGTCTGCTGAATCACGGCGGGGTTCCCCATCAGCCGCAAAGCGACTACGCCATCTCACCTCTAACTGGCGGTCTTGAACCACCTGCCAGCATGGCCGCCAGTTGCAGCCAACGCATGGATCACTTCAAAGGTCTGGAGGGTCTCACCAGTGTTCCCTCCATGTCAGCTCTGCCTTCCCTGCCCAGCTCCCAGTCCTACTGCCCTGCCTCCTACAGCTCGCAGAGCTACACGATTGATCACATGGCGTCCTACCAGTATGGCCAATATGGACAAAGTAAGGTCAATAGACTTCACTTCATAATTATAATTTTTTTTCTTTCACCACACTTCATTTGTTTGACATGCTTCACACAACCACCTTGTGTTTGCTCGGCTGATCTTTGTCTTGAAACAAAGATCAGCTGATACATGCTTTCAGTTATTTCTATTTGTATTTTTCAGCAAAGTCACAGTGTTAGCATAACAGATATTTATATCGACAAGCTAAAATAGCCCCCAGTGCTTCAAACTCTTGTGACCGCTTGGGAGCCACAAGATTGTTTTCGATGAAGTCACAACATGTGGACCACTCGTTGTCCTACCAAGCAGACAGTTTTTTTCTGACCCAAGTCATACCAATAGTACAGCGATTGTATAACCTATTACTTTGCCCCACAGACTCTTGAGAGTGAGGCACACTTCTGTGTTGTAGAATAACATGAATCAGGAGTTGAGATAAACCTGTTGTTCCTCCTGAATCGTCATACTTCGCCAGCCATTTTGTTCAGTTCACATCCTAAGGCCCTTTTCTCTTCGAGCATGACCTTGGCCCAATACACAAAGCAAACGTTTAAATAAAGAACTTTACCTGCCCACACAGAGCGCTGAATTCAACTGTATCAACCACCTATAGGAAGATTATGAGGTCTGAATGAATGGCCAAAGACAACCACGCATTTTCTTTCATTTTCACTTATCATTCATGTAAATATAATTGTGTCTATATAGTGTAGCTGCTGTTCTGCTTGTTAAGGTGCAATCCCACTCCATTCTCAGGTTTGGGGATAATTATGCATGTCTGATTGCCACTGAAAAGTAATTCACCCAAGACTGTGACATAGTTATTCAGTCGAGTCAGCTCATATCACGGAAAAGTAAAGCTCCAACAAGGCTTGAGAGTCCTACTCAAGAGTGTTTGCCCTTTAAAGAATATTCACTTGTTGAGTCATGAGAGGGTCTTTTCATTTCACATTACTGTTATGAAAGTCTTGCAGTCAACCTCCAACAAATCAGAATTTGCAGGGCAATGTCGTTTTCTGTTATGCTCTGATTACAGCAGCCGGCGTTTCCAATTTTGGTCCACAGGGGGTTGACCAATCAGTCTCATCCAATAATCTTGCTGCAAACCCCGGACAGGGCTCTTCAAAGAGCGTGAAAATGAGCCAAAATGTCTGAACATGTGTAACTTTATGCGGCAGCAAATATCAAATGAATATCTAACTATCCAAGCATAGGAGAAACCATGTATACATACTATGATGTCTCCCAGCAAAATAACATGGTGTAAATAATGAATCGAGGTTACGCACGTGAACAACCTTTTGCCTGTTTGTGTTGTACACATGCCGAAAAGAGCAAAAGGCGGTCACCAGGACAACACGTGTTCTCATACACATACGCACCGTCATAAGCCCGATCCGTCCATCTTGATGTGATTAATCAGTGGGACTGGATAACCAGCGTGCAGTTGGGTTTGGAGCTGCAGAAGAAAGGTCTTTTCTGGAGGTGGATGGATCCTAATAGCCTCTGGCAGGGCGGCTATTAGAAACAGGTGTGAGAACTGAGGTCAGCTGGGTAGGCAGCATTTCGCAGTGCTGCTCCAGGTTCCAGTGATAGGAATGGTGGTTCAACTTCAAAATCGTTTGTACTAAATTTAAAAAAAAACATACACTATAAGGATACCAATTGGAATACTTTTCGTAAAATAAAAAGTTGATTTTTTTAAAGTTGAAATTTTAAACCCTTAAGAACTATTAAACATTAACCTTTTTTTTTTTTTTTACACATTACTGATATTTTCACACACATATATATATATATATATATATATATATATATATATATATATATATATATATATTTTTCAGTTATTTACAAAAGTATTAAGGCACTATAAGATTTGTTGTTTATTATTTAAGGCTCAGGGCAACATAAAATCTCATATTTAACATTTGTCATCTCACATTTAATACAGGCAACACTGGCAGAATGGAGAATGGAAGCCCAGTGATTTGATTATGAATTTTAACACAAGCAGGCTTTAAGAGTAACAGGTCGTGGTTAATTGTTATCGGACCCCGCCGGGAAAAGTGAAAAAAAAAAACGAAGTAGGATCTCGAGACTCTTCTGTTGAAGGCACTGATGGTGTAGCTGAGGTTTTTAAATTGGAGAAAACCATGGCGAGTGGTAGTGGTGGGAAGCACTATGATATCTTCTTGTCTTCTTATTTGTTGAAATAGGTTTAAGGTTTCTTTTTTTTAATGAGACAATGGTCTTTTTTTGGTGAAGATAAAAAACTCTGACCAAGTTGACAGTTTTGGCTGTCACTTCAGTCTTCGTCTGAGCTGTCAGTGTCACTGCTCCTTTGTGACGTGTCTAAAAAACAGCCACCCGATATGGTTGTATTATTATTATTTTTTAATTAATTTTTGAAAAAAAAACCCACTGAAGCCGCAAAACTTGAAGCGCGAAGTGGTGAGGGATCACTATACATGTAACAGCATTACGTATTCAAGATACATGAAAAAACATCGGTTTTGTGTTATACAACAGTACGCAACTGTATTTACAGTATAATTGAATGAATGGATATCCGCCCAAGCACCAAGTGGGTAAGGCAAGCCGGGCGTCATGAATGGGGTCATTTGAGGATTTAAAATATGCATGCACTGTCCTATATCAAAAGCAAATTGTGAGTTAAATTAGATGGCTGTAAATGTGGCAACATACCCTTTCAGACTTGGATATTTGTTTATTGTTTTAAACCGTTCCTTACGGAAAGGACCCGCAAAGCACGATACTGAAAAGTGGCTTTTTGATTTAAGTGGATACATTTGTACTGGCCCAGTCCGCGAAGCATCCGTAAGGATGTGGCCCAACATATGTTCCATGTGCTGCATTTCCATTACAGATTAAAGCCCCAACACTTCCCCTCTTTATCTCTGTATTTGTGCATCTTGAATGGCTGCGTTGCACTGCGCGCCAGTCTCACTTTACACAGAGGTGCTTTTTTTATTTTTTTAATTCTTATATTTGCCTCATCCTGGCCACCCAGAGTCTCTGAACGACCCTCTGAGATTAAAGTAAAATGTAAGATATGTGGTGCTTTTATTCTGAAAGTTCTATTTTTATTGTATGTGGGCACAAGTACAAGTGAGGTCGTGGGCAAGAGCTACGACTTTTTTGTTGCGGTGTTACCAACATAGCGATCTTTTTGCTATATTTAGCAACTTTTCCGACTGCTTTGAGCAACTACTTTTCCATAATTAAGACGAGCAAAAATAGTCCTAGCAGTAGTCCTAATGTTAGTAACATTTTCATTTCATACACAGTGGAGGGAAGAGGTCCAAATTTTGGCCTACACGATTCTGCCATCATGTTCTTCGTGACACGCAGCCGTGCGAGACTTTGAGGCTGAGTTGTCCAATACGGTGTTTATCCACCACCATATGAACGCTTGTTTATTGTGTGTCTAAATGAGTTTTCTCCTTGAAGTCCAACTTAATCTGCCATTCTTGAGAAACATGATCTATCATTCAAAAAGCGTTCACAGAAGCCAGAGCACGTTCACAAAAACGTTCATCAGGCAGAAATACCTACACGATTGCCTCAGGCATGACCGGTCAAACTGGCAGGTACGTTTTTATCAACACCTGCCAAAATGAATTTTAGCCCGCAGTTGCAATGGAAAAAGTAACAATCAAAAAAGCTGTTTATTTTCTGACATTCTATTTTAATAAAACATATAATACTACACTGTATAGGTTTTTATGCTTATGTCACACACTGCTGTACTGTCATTTTTCTTATTAAAAAGCATGTTACCAATAAAATGCTGTTGTTTTTTTGGGCAGGGCTGGGATTGATTCATGGCATCTCCATTTAACCCAATGCTGAAATTTGATTTGAGATTTAAGGGATTTGCGGAACAAACATCGTCACGCAACACACAAGTCTAGGTGACACTGTGACTCAAGGTTACAATGGCGGAGATAACCAATAAATTGACAATAAGATGTGTGATTCCATGTGAAGATGGGAGAGATCATAATTTTTTGGAGGATGATGATTGTGTTTTTAATGAACAATTAGAAATTCTTAAAGCACCCTCCTACTTTTACATTTTACATTGCATTTGGAATTTACGTGATCTTACAGCCTGGCTCAAGACAGGCTACTCAAATCTCCTGTTTGCCCACATTATACGAAGTACAGTTATTTGTTAGCGGACACACTAAGCATACACCCAACCATGAATGTCCTTCTACAACATTTGATTTCAAATCCGCATTCCCTTGTGTCAACACACCTCATCCTTTTTTGTATTTGTATTTTTACAGGTCCCCTTCCTTATCTGAGGCCAGAGATCGCCTGACCCAAAGCTTTGAATCCACAAAGAATGAAGACGATAATTCTTCAACAGGACCAAAATGAATTGGAATATGTTCTTGGATCCCGGATAAGTTTATTTTATGCAAAGGACAAGCAGACAAGCTCTAAGAAGGGAACACAAGAAGGAATACCAGACCAAATAAACTGTTCATCAACCGCGGACATTTCTGTATTAGGAGTGCAAATGGACAGCAGACTTTTCAGCGCTTAACTTGGTCAGTTCTGCACATGTGGCACTCTGACCATCTTGACTTCTTAGTGAAGCTCTCTAATCATAAGCTCACTCCCTGTGAGTTTTTAAAATTTTTTATTTAAAATGTTTTTTTTTTGTTTTATGTTTTTTTTTTTATAAATGACTGTAAACCCCATTGTACTGGTACTAGGTGACTTGAGGCAACATATTTACATAAAGCCACTTGAGGATGTCTGAAATTCTAGGTAATGCCAAATTAATCTCCTAAATCGTTTCTGCCCGGGGTGGGGGGTGGGAGGTGTTTGGAGGAAACAGGCCATGCTGATTTTATCTATATAGCATTTATTTGAGATCCCACGCAAGCCGCACATGAAGAGAAATTCAAGAGGTAAAGAAAGCAAACACAGGGAAATGAATATGTGGGTTATATTATATCAGAAACGCTAACATACATCACAGCTGTACTGCTGAGGAAGTTCATATAAAGCTCCAACTAAGCACTCGCACTCCTCCTCCGTCTTCCTCTCTGTGTCTCATTGACGTTTCGGACGGCGAGGCCCCAGATCTTGGCCTTTTGTAGTCGTCTCGAGGCATTGCAGGAGGTCAGGGGTGACGTTCGGGAAAGTGACAGATGAGAGAGCAGTAGAAGAGAAGTGGTTTTAACAAAAAGGGGAGGGGTGGGTGGTTGATAGGCAAGATCGATCACAGGCTTAAACCCTTTTAAAGATCTTTCTCTTGCGGGAAAAAAAAGTCACCAGGTCACAAGTCACGACCACAAAACACTTGAGAAAGCAAAAGAGCAGCAAAGTTTAGATAAAAGATGGACATTTCCCCCTCCGTGAGCAGGAGTGCAATAGATCGCAGCCAGTCACGTCATTTGAGGAAATATTTGTCCAAATTGACATTTCTCACAGTGTTTTCAGAAGAAAATTTGGAAAATGTTAAAACACAATATTACAGTCTGTTTTATTAACGGGACTATACTTCTTCAGCAGTTAATTATGACCATTTTTTTTCTCTTTTTGCTTTTTCTGTTCATTCCCACCAAAATTCTCATGAGTACAGGATCCACCATTTTTAGAGTTCATTAAGGAAGAGCACATGTGCCTTAATTAGACGATGAGAACACGACAAATTACATTGGGAAGGACAAAGGCAAAATTGTTATGATATTATTTTGTCGGACCATACTGTTTCCATTTTCCATAATTAGAAATTTCAATATTTGAGAGTCATTCCAAAGATGTTTTGTTGCAAACCATTCCAAACTGAAAAAGGGGATTTTGTCTGTCACATCCAATTAAAAAAAAAAGCACACCAACAAAACAAAAAAAACAAATTGCCCACATGAAAGCACTCCGTTGTTTGAATAATTCGCAGAACGAACCAGTTCTTTTAGTCATTGTATGTTTTTGTACGAAAAAGTGGTGTCACGTAAGGCCATGTATGTGTATAAGCACATTGTCATTATAATTTATAATGAAATAAACATTCTGAAAATGCATACTGTTTTGTTCATTGTTTTCTCCTCCACGCTCCTAAATGGAGTCTTTGTGTTTATTTTGGTCATATTGTGAAAAAAAGGGCAAGTGGACTGTGATTCCCCCTCAGTGAGAGAGTTCAGGCCCATTCAGAGACAAATATGTACTTTTGAAGGCACTCATGTGAACCCCTCCAACCAAAATAGGCCCACCAATTGGTGATCACCAGACATCCAAATTGAACACAACCGCCTTTCTTAGAAGACGACTGTTGCCTTTCAGACGGCTTCATCAGTGGGTATTAATAAGCTCGCTGGCCTCCTGCTACTGTAAGAATCTGACTTTTGTTTAACAACGTCAAAAATGACGCGAACGAGCCTTAAAGCGTTTTTAAACAAATCCAATTGCACATCCACACATTCACCCTCGTTACATACACAGGGCCCCTCTGTGTGTTTGCGCACCACAAGCATTCATATATTATTTTCATGGTCAGATATACAGTACTGTTATTTCTCTGTGTGAGTGCATGTGTGTGTGCGTGCGTGTGTGTTCCTGCAGCCTGAGGGTGTTGAGACTAATTTTAACATTCTTCTGATTAATAGTTTCTGCTAGCAGGCCTCAGATTGGTGGGCACTATTCATTGCACACTCTGTAAACACGGTCTAAATCAACAGTACCTCCAAAATCACCCTTAGTTTTGTTACGTTTACCAACGAAAAGGCAGGATTGATGTTTGCGGGCTCTGTAGGCCTACCATGCTTATAAAAATCTTTATACATTCAGATGTGTGCATACTACATGTACACGAAGGCGCAGAGCCACATCTGCACCCGCACTGTATGTTTGTTTTCCGATCCGGTCCATAAATGAAGACAAATCACAGCTGCGAAATTCCAAAGCTCCGATTTTTCATAATGAACCCTTTGACTCACTCACGTCCTGAAAAGGGAAATATTGTCCCACAATTTACCACGTTTTGCTATGTGTGCCTGTGTAGGCGTTGGTACTTTGAGAATTTTTCGGGGGTTTTTCGAGATGTGAGCCGTTGCTTGGTGGATGTTTTGATTTGACTTGCGTACACAGACTTGAGCTAAAAGGACCGTATGTTGGCAATTAACTCAACTTATTTCACAATGAAGTAAAGTACAATAGCACGCAGTGCTATTTTTGCTCATTAAAATACATCTTACAATTTTGTTGTTGTTGTTTTATGGGGGAAGCCTGGAAGAGATTGTGGCCTTCCCATTCATTTCAACGGAAAAAGAGGATTTGAGACGCACGCGTTTTGAGTTATGAGCATGGTCATGGAATAAAGTAATCGCTTCGATGTTTTATATATATTCCTTCACCTAAAGCTAAGTAATGTTTCAAAATCAGTCAATTTTCATAGAAAGATGCATCACATCTACGCTTCCTACCACCACTCTGCCTCCGTCACCCACAACGATTTAACGTATAGTCATCTGAATTCTACCTCTCTGACAGTGTCAGTCTTTGTGAAAAGCAACATTTGTCATACAGCTATTTGAGGCAATACAGGGGGAATTGTTTTGGGGTGTCCTTCGATTTCAAATGACCATCACCCACCTCCCCACACCCCAACCCCCGTACATGCACTTAACCCCCTGACATTCTCTTGCATTTACACACTCTGTCATCACGTCCTGGCTGCTGCTGACCTGAGCATGACACATGCTGGGCACAACTTAACCCCCAGACCTCCTGGATGGAAAGCATACTGGCACCGGAAAAAGTTGGCATCAGAAACGTTGACATCCCACTTCTCTAAAATTTGTATTTTCAACCAAGGCAAGAATGAAATGTGCACCAGGCTTTCCAGCCCGAAACTTTCAAGCCATGGTGTACCACTGTTTGAGCTGAAAATCGAACATTTGTTCGATTGGATGTTTTTTTTTTTTCTCCTCTGTCAGACGGGAATGATTAAAGTCGTCTGATTCCAATAAATATACTGCTCCACTGCAGCGTGATTTATACGATTACAACGAAAAGAGGCACAATGAGAAATAAAGAGTTTCTTTCATCATCCCCGAGTAGAAACCCGCCTTTGTTCGTTTCACAGACAAAACGGCAGTGGTGAACTTCACTTTTATGGGGGCCAACGGTGCTACAAAAGCAGCCAATGTGGCCACCATTGCTCCTCTTCACCGTGCTGTAAACGCAGCAACACACATTGTTATGTGGATATGGCAAATGTAAATGGCAATTGAATATAAAAAGTAGATGTTACGTTAGGATGTGGTTTCAATTTCAAATAAACACCAATCAGGGTAGAATCCAGCAGGCGACACCCCATTTGAACAACGTATCCATGTTACATCTCAGACGACACGAGCTATTTTCTTACTGAGTTGGTGTTAATGCAACACTGACATTCTGTTGTTGTTGTTCACATCGGCCGATTTGCAGTGTACTTTTCCTCACCCAATTGGTAGGTGTGCCGGGGGTGTGAAATGGAAAACACCCTTGGTCTAGAGCAGTGTTTTTCAAACTTTTTTGAGCCAAGGCACACTTCTTTCATTGAAAAAAATCTCACGGCACACCACTAGCTGAAATCGGTCTCAGGGGTTCGGCAGAGCCTCTACCATACAATAAAGAAAAAAAAACATAGACTTATGTCTTGAATTTGTATTGACTTTTTTCTGTTTTTAACAAATGCATTTTTTTCATGTCTTGGATTTGTAAAAAAATCATATTTTTATTTTTCACTAAAGGAGGGTTCGGTGAATGTGCATATGAACTGGTTGGGTTCGGTACCTCTAACAAGGTTAAGAACCACTGGTTTAGAGTCTAGTCTTTATACTCTTTTGTTGCAAAGCCACACTGTTGTAATACGAGCAGAAGTGGCTTGGCATTGTCTTGCTGAAATAAAAAAAAAAACCCAAAACCCCACCACACTTCCTGTCAGGATTCAATTCTTCTCCGTAATCTCTTCTGACAGTCATCTGGACTAACATGGAGACATCTGTCGGCAAGCCGTGCTTTTTGGATTTACTTCTGTCTTGGATGATTTAACCCAGAGAGTGTTTATGTATTTCAACCCCCCCACCCCCCACCCCCTCCCT